ATTTGGTTTTATAACTCTGCAACATTGTTCTTTTATAGTTTATTAGTTATGAGTTATGATTTGTGTATTTTTTTCCATTGTGAGGTTGATGAAAAATAGTAACACTCAGTAATTTTTAAAGTACTATATATATATATATATACACACACACTATTCGCCGTATCCCCGCCGTGTCCGTGTCCTAATTTTTTTAGATTTGCCGTATCGTGTCGTATTCGTGTCCTGTATCCGTATCCGTGCTTCTTAGCTTACAACTAAGTGGACATATTCAATTCCATCATGAATCGAAAAACATAATACATTAGCATTCAGCAATTTTATAATACATAAATGTCATTTCTCATTAAGATCCGAGTAAGAATTCGCTATGCTAGGGCATACAAATCCTAACAGGGAGATGAGACTTAAATTACTTATGTGAGGATTACATGCAGCAGGTTAAGGGATATATTTCCAATCCGAACATTTACGATGGCATTGATTGTCTACAGTGGGATGGTGGTGCTTTCTCTTATAAAAGAACATGGAGCAGGTGTACGCATGCTCTAGTCCCTTGGAGAAGTTTATGTTGGAATAAGGGGAGACCTAGGTGCTGTTTCATAGCTTGTCTAATTATTCAAGACAAGCATCCCTCCATGTTTAATCTGCTGAAGAAGGGGTTGATAAGTGCTCAAATATTGCACATTTTAGCACTTAAGTTAGGGTATTTTAATCCTTTCATCTATCTTACTTTCCCGTTTTAGTTCTAATTTGTGTTTTTGTCTATTTCAGGTCAATAAGGTTCAAAGAGGCTAAAAAGGGTCTATTACAGCCTTTAGGAAGTCAAACTGAGTCTTGGTGAGAAGCTATAGCAAAAGGAGGCTGAAGTTGAAAATTTCCTGTTTGATGGTTCCAGCTTGGATCGATCGATGGTTCCAGCCTGGATCGATCGATGGTTCCAACCTGATGTGTGATCGATCACATTGTTGGTTGGATCAATCAAACTGTTCGCAGAAGTTCCAAAAAAAGCAGATCTAAAGCTCATTTCGAACCAACTCGGGCTGTGCTTGAAAGGGGAGATCCTTAAGCCGAGTTCTGACCTATTTGGGCTCAAAAAGCCTTGTATAAATGAGGGATTGAACCATTTTTGTAGGGAGATTCATATTTTACATTGTAATTTTTATATTTTCATTAGCTTTCTCTCTCTAGAAAGGTTAGAAATTAGGATTAGAAGAAAAGGGGGAAGTGAAGGCACAAGGGTTTGAAGAACATCTACACACTCTCTCTCTAAAGAGCTTCAAAGAAGAAGAAGATGATGATGATGCCATGCTTAGAGGAGGACCTTGTTGACACCTTTGACCACCTCTACCACCATGGGCTAGATCTTCACTTAGGGCTTGGATAAGCTCCAAGTCTTATGTAATCTAAACCCTTGTATTTCTATTTTTGGGGATTTATATATATTGTTGTAATTAGTGGTTAGCCTTGTGATTGTTGATTTAATTTTTCCTAATGATTCTCTATTTTAATTACATGTTGTCTTATGTGTGATTATTTGGGAATTGATCTCTACGCTAGATTCTCTATGTTGGTTGCATGTCTATGTGTGATTAATTAAGGATTTAGTGATGGCTAAGCATGGTTTTCATTGAATGGGTTTGTAAATTAATTTGATGGATTATGCTTACAATTGATGGGTTGTTCTAGAATTTAATTAATGTTTTGCAGGTAAGTAGACAATCTATGCTTGATTTGATACTCCATACTTATTATTGCAAATTCCATGATTCTCTATATTGATGTGAGCTCTCATTAGATACATTTGTTAACTAATCAGTGTTATTAAGGCACCTACAGGCGCACCTTATGCGCCTCATGCTAGCCCAGACGCAACGACCTTCACTAGGCGCGCGCCTGGGTTGCGCCTTGGATATTTTAAGAGGCGCGCTTCATATATTCTGTGCTCCTTTTATAATTTGTTTGTGTGTTTTCTTTGATGTATTACGTGTACTTTGTGTTTGCTTGTTTACTTTATATTATTATATATATATGGTTACAGCTTTTGGAAACTGAAAGTACAAAATGGAAACTTAAAGTACAAAATGAAAATTTGTCTTCTTGTGACTTAGCAACCCATTGTCTCCCAATAGTCAACAAAACAAATCAGTCAAGAGCAAAGGCTGCAGCAGAAATAAAGAAGTGAGGGAGTGGGAAAGAGAAGAGAAGAGAGAGAAGAGAGAAAGAAAGAGAGAGAGAGAAGAGAAGAGAAGAGGAGAGGGCTACCAGTTGCCTCCATCCGGCCAGGAATCACCGAATCAACTTAACAGGTCAGTTTTGTGTTTTTTTTTTTTTTTTTCCTTCTCCAGTTCTCCTCTTCTCTCTCTCTCTTCATTTGCTCTAATCTCTATATCTCGCCTTTTTTTTTTTTTTTTAAGTCTCTTTTTTTCTTCTTCTCTATTTCTCTGATTTTCTTCTTTCTTTTTCTGGGTCTCTAGTAGACTGGTATATTTTTTTTTTTCAGGGTCTCTTATTTTTTTTCTTCTATCTTTTTCTCCGTATCTGTTTTTTTTTTTTTTTTTCTTCTTTCTTTTTCTCCATCTCTGTTTCTGTTCTTCTGGTTCTCTTTTTTTCTTCCTCCTTTCTATATATCTGGTTTTGTGTTTTTCTAGCTCTTTCTTTTTCTGGGTCTCTTTTATTTTTTTTTCTTCTATCTTTTTCTCCATCTCTGTGTTTGTTCTTGTGGGTCTCTGTTTTTTTTTCTTCTTTCTTTTTCTTCATCTACACCTCTCCCGTGTCTTGCTATATATATATATATATATATATATATTTTTTTTTCTCTCTGGCCTGTATTTTTTTTTCTCGTTGTATTTTTTCCCATCATTTTCAACTTCTTGGTTGGTTGGTTGGTTAGAATAATGGATGAAGATGTAGATGCCGAAAATGAGTTAGTGTTTGAAGATGACTCTTTGACATGGGGTGCAGTTGCTAGAGCTACTGGGGCTGGAGAGTCCAGCCATAATTTAAGATCAAGATAAGCTCCAAGGGCAACAAAGAGGACAACACCTTCATGCTCGTCTTCACTACGAATCATAGATGATGACGAGGTAAACTCTGAGGACACAAAAGAGGAAGAAGATGCTGAGAGTTACAAATCTTTTGATGGGGACGATGATGAGACTATGTTGTTTGGTGAAGAGGATGATATTTAGGTCCCTTAAGATTGTTTGGTAACTTTGGTTTTAGGAGTCCTTGTCAAAACTCAAAACTGAAACTGATATTTTGTTTCTTGGTTTATAGATTTGGTAGGCTACTAAGTATTGACTATGATACTTTATAGATTTGGTAGGCTACTAAGTATCTTTTGATGGATCTATTTTGGAGTCAAATGATAGCTTTTGCTTAAGACATCAAGTATAAATTTATAATATATGGTTAATTGGTTTATGTTTTACTTTTTTTGAATCTTTCTTATGAATAAATAGCTTTATTAGTTTAATTGTTCTATTTTTCTAGTTGCTTTATTGGTTTAATTGTGATATATTTAGACTAATTTAGTGTTTTTATTATTGGATGTTCATTGTTTAATTGTGTTATTTTTGCTAAGAATTATTGTTTTAAAATTTTACTTGTGCGCCTCACATCACTCAGGCTGGCGTCTCGCCGTGCGCCTCGCGCCTAAGCTCCAAGGGACCTTTAGTGCCTCGATGCGCCTTGGGCTTTTAATAACTATGTAACTAATTGATGGATTATGCCTTTGTCTTGGTGGGTTGTTGTACACTTAGTTTACTTGTTAGTTAGGTAAACAATTCAAACTTGCATTAGATAGTCCACACTTTTTACATGCAAATTGTGTTTATGTTCGTGGCCACATCTAGATTGCAACCATGTATTCCCCATTAATGGAAATCAAGTAGTTAATTATACGAGCTTAGTGGTGATTCCAACACCCTTAAACCTCTCTTCATATCTCTTAAATCCCTATCTCTCATTAGTTTAGTTTACTTGCATTTTAATTACATTGCACATTAGTGTAATCAACCAACCCAACCCTCCTTTGCAATCAGTTGATACATTAGAGTCAAAATTAAATTCCAACACGTATAATCTCTTGGGACAATCCCTTCTCACTCATACTACATAGAATAGGTGTTAAGCGGTTTATAAATTTAAAGTATGATGCCCACTTGACACTAATGTCCAAACTCAAAGTGTTGTGCATTATTTTGTGCACATGCTCGGGTCGCATCAGGGGCTTAAGCTGGCTGCTGTGTGCTCATTCTGTCATGATGGTAGTGATTCAAGAGACAAATTGTTAGTTACCTGTTCTTTTGCTAAGACTGTTTGAACCTGGTTTGCAGACTTGATGGGTTGGACACTTCCTGTGTGTAATTCTTTTGCTCAGTTGCTAGACTGGTTTATGCAGAATACAAGGGTGGATACTAGCAGGGCTAGATTCACAAAACTGGTTTTCACTGCTGTTTTATGGGCTTTATGGGGGGAGAGGTGAGATATCATCAGGGCACAGTTAGATCTGCTGTGGAGGTTGCTAGAACCACTTGGTTTCAAGTGATTGACGCTGATGGGTTTAGATTGCTGGATGCTTTGGGTTGTATGTAGTAGGAGCATGGGGTGGGTTTCATTTTGCAATGTACTGGAAATGGTATTTTTCTGTTATGTCTGATTTTGTAATGTAGGGGAATGCCCCCACTGATCCCTTTGTACTGATTGCCAAATCTTTTGAGGTCAATACAATACCTGCTTATGAAAAAAAAAATGGTCACTGTGAATAATCTTTTGGTTTGGAAGCATGTGATCAATATAATATCAATATCCAGGTCTTTACTAAATTTACATTCCATATAATTCATTTTAGTCCTATCAATTTTTAAACCTTTTGATTGTAACGCATTTCTCCAGCTTTCTAGTTTTATTGCCAATATTAAACATGAAAATAGTTCATAATCTAAAATTATACAATAATTGGTAGACTTCTTATCCAGAAGCAGGGGATAAAGATTTACCTCAATCCCAAGCCGAGTCACAGATGCAACCTCCCTTGCAATGGCCATTGTAACCTACATTGGAACATAGATGCCTCTTGTAACCATCAAAGGACTCCCATAACCATCAAAAGAGTAAAGATATCCCAAAGTGTTAAGCATGTTTTTCTTTCATATTCTGACCTTTGGATCAATATTTTGTGCTTGATCTCCTGCAAGTGCTTCTCCACTCACTTTAAGCAACACCCTCTGCCATTTATACGAGGGTTTGGATGTGCTAGCTTCATTCAATTTCATACCAAAAGGAGATATAGAAGATAATTGAGACTGCCTGTTAAAACCATGAAATTAATAAAGCAGATACCAAAAGATAGCACCAAAATGCAGTGTCAGAAGCAAAATATCCAAAGATAGAATATGTAATTGTGTGCAAAATAAAATATTGTCGTATAACATCTAAATCCAACGGTTTATGGAGAAAAATGTCCAACATTCAAGACTTTTAGTATTTAAGTGATCTCAAGAAAGAGAATTATTATGTAATGTCTAAAATTCCAAATGGAAAACAGAGAAAATACCCAAGGCAAAGTTCACAGAATCATGACCTATGTAGTCTGAAGAAAGAATATTGATCATTATCTCTTCTTTAAACAACTACACAGAAAATCAATGAATACTTGTCTCACATAATTCAAACTGAGAGATGAATCAAGAGAAACAAATCTTCTACAGTTTTAAGGGCATCAAGTCCTCCAACAATAAACATTCAAGGTGAACATTATTCAGTACTTATAGCACAAAGAACAACATATGATGCTTGCAAAGAAAAATATGTAGTTAAGGGACAAAATCATAGCCTGGGATTGAGAACTGCACATTTTTTCTCGTCCAACATCTCATATTTTGAAATTCATTTTGCAATCCTAAACTATACACAAAATAAATATCAAAAATAGAAAAACCACGTAAAATAACTAGATAGCATATAGAAAGGGCATATTTAGAATTTTAATTTGTTAAATCAAAGCGAGGAGATCAGATATGTCCCCAGTGAACTCCCACTGATCTTCTCATGTAAGTATTCTGATTATTATTCGACTTGCAAAAAATATTAGATGAGTAGCACGCCAATCTGTAATATGAGAAGTGTTGAAAGAGAGAGAGAGAGAGAGAGAAAGAGAATATATTGTTGGAGAATTACGTGATTTATGTAATTGTTAGATAAATTTGGAAAGTATTAACTGTCTGATTTTGAACTAATTATAGGCTAATATAGCTGGTGTATTAAAGTTTAGGTTGACTTATTTTATTTCCTGATCTTAGGGATTTGGTTGTATATTCCTTAATTTACTGGATTCTGATCTGATTGTATTCAGCTTATAAAGGTCGGGCTGCTTTGTATTAGAAAGTTATGAAATATACTTCAATTTTTCTCAATTTCTGTGTTATGGTATCAGAGCCCTAGGTGCTCTTTCTGGGATAAAATATTTCATCATTTACAGATTTCATAACAGCTTGGAGTTTAGTTTTTTACAGAAGAAAAAAAACGAGATGTCAGAGGTTACACAAACCAGCTCTCAATCGGAAGAGCCTACAATCCAACAACAGGTTCCTGGAGATCTACAGACCATTCAAGCTGCGTATAGGCTGAATGGAACGAACTATTTAAAGTGGTCTCAACTTGTTCAAACCTTTCTAAACGTGAAGGGCAAGCTCAACCATCTTCTTGGAAAAGGGCCTAAGAAGGAAGATCCAAAGTTTGCTGGTTGGGACGAAGAAGACTCAATGGTCATGTCATGGCTATGGAATGCTATGGTACCCGACATAAGTGATACTGTCATGTTTTTGACAACCGCTCAAGAGATATGGGAGGCGATCAAACAAACTTATTCGAAGAAAAATGATGCAGCCCAAGTGTACATGATCAAGGTGAAGCTAGCTGCTACAAAACAAGGGAACAAGACTATAACAGAGTATGCCAACACCCTGAAAAATTTGTGGTACGAGTTGGACTATTACCAGGTTCTCGAGAAGAAGAACAACGAGGATGCTGTGTTGTTGAAGGCTTTCATAGAAAAAGACCGAATCTTTGAATTCTTAGCAGGCCTTAATCGGGAATTCGATACTGTAAGAGTTCAGACTTTGGGGAAAGGATTATCCTCCCTAAATGAAGCAATCGCAACTATTCGTGCTGAAGAGAGCAGGAGAGGAGTTATGTTGGATTCGCAACCATTGGAAGGATCGGCACTCCTTACAACCGCTGCTAGTGAGCAAACTTTGGAGAAGAAGTCTTCAGCTACTACTGATTATAAGAAATCTGACCCGAAGAGGACATTCAAAGAGAATCTAGTATGTAACTATTGCAAGAAAACTGGTCATACGAAGGACACCTGCTATAAGCTACATGGAAGGCCACAAAACATGAATCAGTCAAACCGGAATTCCGGAGGAAGAAGCTGGCAGCAAAAGGGACAAGCCCACGTTGCACAAAATAGCACTAATAATACCAGTGATCAACCGAATTCCAGCAGTAGAGAATTCTGTAAGGAAGACATTGATCGCCTCCGATCCCTTCTTGATTCACTCGAAGAACCTACAGGTGCCTATTCATTAGCACTTTCTGGTATGTATTCTGGTTCTCATGCTCTTAGTGTCCCAGATAATGTTTTAATCCACCCACACTCTTGGATTGTCGACTCAGGGGCAACCAACCATATGACCAACTCATCCCAATCTTTTTCTTCTTATAAACCATGCCCTAGTAATAAAAAGATCACCATAGCTGATGGGAATTTAGTCACTGTTGCAGGACAGGGGGACATATCCTTAGGACCTTCCTTGTGTCTTAAAAATGTTTTACATGTGCCCAAATTGACAACCAATCTTTTATCTGTCAAACAAATCACCAAGGATATGAACTGCACTCTTATTTTCTCAAAAAATTCATGTGTGTTTCAGGACCGAGCTTTGGGGAAGACGATTGGGCATGCTAAAGAAAAGGATGGTCTCTACTGTCTCGAGCCCATGAGTGGAAAAGTGAGTACTGGAGTTGGTTGTTCATCTGTGCTAATGTCTGATTCCTCCACAAATAAAGACAAAATTCTCCTTCATCATTTTCAGCTTGGTCATCCTTCCTTTAGAACTCCCAGTCTTATGTTTCCTTCTTTGTTTAAAAATGTTGATTTGAAACAACTTCATTGTGATATTTGTAAAATTGCCAAACACAAACGTGTTTCCTTTCCTTTGAGCAATAATAAATCATCAGTTCCTTTTTATTTGATGCACAGTGATGTTTGGGGTCCTTCACGGGTTGCTAATTATTCTGGGGCACGTTGGTTTGTCATTTTTATAGATGATTGTACGCGGGTTACTTGGACTTTTCTCATAAAGCAAAAATCTGATGTAGCCAATATCTTTCCAATATTTCATAACATGATAAAAACACAGTTTGGGGTGAAAATTAAAAGGGTGAGGACAGACAACGGGAGAGAATATTTTAACCAAATTCTTTTACCATATTTGAATCAGGAGGGAATAGTTCATGAGTCCTCATGCATTGACGCACCCCAACAAAATGGGGTGACCGAAAGAAAGAATGGACATCTTCTCGAAACTACCTGTGCTCTTCTTTTTCAAAGACAAGTTCGAAAATATTTTTGGGGGGAAGCCGTTCTCACAGCCACTCATCTCATCAACCAATTACCTACCAAAGTCTTAGAGTTTAGAAGTCCTTGGGAAATACTTTCACATCATTTTCCAGACTTCCTTACTCCAAACAGGTTGTCTCCTTGGGTATTTGGGTGTGTTGTCTTTACTTATGTTCATGCACACAATCGAAGCAAACTTGATCCCCGAGCACTTAAATGTATTTTTATAGGTTACTCTTCAACTCAAAAAGGTTACAAATGTTACCATCCGCCTACTCGGAAAACCTACATTTCAATTGATGTCACATTTGTTGAACATGAGAGTTTCTTTCATCATCCTTCTCCTCAGGGGGAGGTAACAAGTGATGAAAAGGATGATGATGCAGATGTCCTCGATTTCGATCTTATGCCCAAATTGTCACCACCATCTTTGAGTCCAAGTTCTGCAACCGCTCCTGCCTCGGTTTCCTTTGGTTCCCCTCTTACCGCGGCTTCTCCAAGTCCGGATCACATTCATTCCCAGGTTTCACTACCTACTTCCGATCCCAGTTCTGATATTCCTCCACTTCAAAATCCAAGTGTGACATCTCCTGAATCTCAACCACAATCTCCTCCTAAAAATCCAACTCCATCAATCAATCCAGTAGTCACTAAACCACTTCAAGTTTTTTCGAGAAGGAAGGGAGGCAAGACTAATCTGAAGTAAGCCCAAAAGTCAGAACCTATGCTTGGGACAGAAACCACTCAAGAGAAAAACACTAATCAGGTAAACAATTCCACTCTTGTGTTTGATGAGACTGATTTAGAACTACCCATTACAGTTCGAAAAGGTACCCGAAGGTGTACACAACATCCACTCTCTCATTTTGTCTCCTTTAAAAAATTATCTCCCTCACATAGAGCCTTCCTTACTTATCTAAACTCAATAACCGTTCCTAAAACATTGTCTGAGGCATTAAACAGCAGGGAATGGAAGCAAGCCATGAAAGTTGAGATGGGCGCACAGGAAAAGAACAAGACTTGGGAGATGATCGAATTACCAAAGGGAAAAAAAACTGTGGGATGCAAATGGGTGTTTTCAGTAAAATTCAATGCAAATGGATCTCTTGAAAGGTACAAGGCGAGGCTAGTAGCAAAAGGATATACCCAGACCTTTGGTGTTGATTATCAAGAAACTTTTGCCCCAGTGGCAAAAATGAACACAGCAAGAATTTTATTGTCTTTGGCTACTAACTTTGATTGGACTTTACAGCAGTTTGATGTAAAAAATGCATTTCTGCATGGAGATCTTGAAGAAGAAATATATATGGAAGCTCCTCCAGGATTCAGTTTTCCGAAGAAGAATAGGGTATGCAGACTAAGGAAGGCACTATACGGACTGAAGCAATCCCCCAGGGCTTGGTTTGGCAGGTTTACAAGAGCAATGTCAGCAATGGGTTACAAACAAAGTCAAGGTGATCATACTCTGTTCATAAAACACTCAGGGGGAGTTAAAGTCCTCATTGTATACGTAGATGATATTATTATCACTAGCAATGATCAAGTTGAAAGGGAAACTCTTAAAGGTAAGCTGGCCACGGAATTTGAAATAAAGGACCTAGGCAAGCTGAAATACTTCCTGGGAATTGAAGTTGCTCGCTCCAAAGAAGGAATTTTCGTCTCACAACAAAAGTATGTGATTGAT